TTAAATAAAATCAGACATACATATTCTTCTTGTATTCCATAATTTAAAAACAAATAGTTTATTTTTAATTTTTTAAGGGATTGGTGAAATTTGTATGGGACTTGAAACGTGTTTGTTCCTAATTTAAATCTCAAACTATTTACACTTAATTTTGAATTAGTTTTTAAACTATTTTTAAAGTGTTTCTTTTATCTAAATTTAATTTTAAGTTTGAAAAAAGAAACAAATTTTAAGGCGGATCGAAGATTTTAATGTCGTGGGAACGTTTAGGACATTGTAGCAAGATCAAGTTTTAAGTTTATTTTTAGTTGCTGCTTGCGGTTCCTTTTTATTATCGATTATTTGATTTTTTCTAAAAAAGTCGATTATTCGATTTTTTTCTAAAGTCGATTATTCGATTTTTTTTCTAAAAAAGTCGATTATTCGATTTTTTTTTCTAAAAAAGTCGATTGTTCAACTATTTTCTACAAAAAGTTGTTTATTTCACTTTTTTCTATATAAAATGGATTGTTCGTTAGACGAGTTCTAACTTATTTACGTTTATTTTTAATTGATGCGTTCAAATTCACACTAGCTTTCTATAGTTGAAACAAAAAGTTGACTTTTCAACTTTCGACTTTTTGCAATTTATGTAAAGTCATCCATTTCTTTTTCCAAATATTTTTAATATTGACTTTTTCTGATTCTACTCTATCTAGGATTTTATAGTTAGAATCAGAAAAATCGACTTTTAGACCTGTATGAATGGTTGATTATTTGACTTTTTTCGTTTTATGAAAAGTTGACTTTTCGAATTTTGTGTTTTATGAAAAGTCGACTTTTTGGACTTATTTCAACTTTTTGACTTTTTTTGATTTTATCAACTTTACGACTTTTTTCCAACTTATTTCGACTTTTTTCGTTTTTTTTCGACTTTTTTTGACTTTTATTTACAAAGTCAACTTTTCGACTTTTTTTTAGGTGAAAGTCGAGTTATTATTTTATTAGAATTTTTAAAATTTTCCGTAATTTTCACAAGATAACCGACTTTTTTCTACCAAAAGACGATTGATTGTTCGATAGTCGATCGATAGTTTTTTTTATTTTTTTGCTGTTGCGTTCAAATTCTTACTAGTATTTTATGGTTGAAACATAAAGTTGACTTTTAGTAGGACAAAATAGTAGGGTTCTATAAATCGACTTTCGAATAATCGAACAATCGACTTTTTGTCGGAAAAATTCGAAAAGTCGAAGTCGATTATTTTGTTCCAACAAAGTCGATAACTCGACTATAGTCTATGAAAAAAGTCGAAAAGTTGACTTTGTAAATAAAAGTCGAAAATAGTCGAAAAGACGAAAAATTGAAAAAGTTGTAATAAGTCGTAACAAGTCGGTAAAAGTCGAAAAAAGTTGAAGATGTTCGGAAACTCGAAAATAGTAGAAAAAAACTAAAAATAGTCGAAAATTTGAAAAAAGTCGAAAAACACTTCAAAAACTCGAAAAAAGACAAAAAATAGTCGAAAAGTCGAAAATAGTCGAAAAAAGTCGAAAATTCGAAAAAACGTCGAAAATTCTAAAAAAGTCGACTATTTATAAAATACTAAATGTCGACTTTTAATTAAATGAAAAAAGTCGAAAGATCGAATAAAAAAATAGTCAAAAAGTCGACTTTTCGTTTCAACTATAGAACCCTACAAAATAACGGACTTCGACTTTTTTCCACAAAAAGTCGATTTCTCGAAATTTTCGATGAAAATTTGATTGTTTAAGAGTCGATTTATATAAGATTATAGATTTTTTATTTGATTTGTTTACTTTCTTTTTTTTGATACGAAAAAGTCGACTTTTTCGGCATTTTTTCGACTTTATCCGATATTTCCACTATTTTCAACTTTTCCCTACTTTCTTCGACTTTTATTTGCAAAATCGTTTCTTGGACTATTTTCTTACAAGATAGTTTTTTTGGAATTTATGAAATGTCGACTTTTCGTCTTTCGAGTTTTTGCAATTTTGAAGTTTTCGACTTTTTGTGTATAAACACCTTTTGACAATTTGCGTTATTTCGATTTTTTATTTCATTTTACTTTCTTTTTAGAATTCTATAGTTGATTCGGCTATTTTTGTCCGTCATTTCTACATTTCTTACATAACAGTTGACTTATCGACTTTATTAGGACCAAAAAGTCGACTTTTTCCGACAAAAAGTCGATTCTTTGACTATTTTAAAGACGATTTATAGAACTTCTTTTTAGGTTTTTAGTAGAGTTCTATAGTTGAAACAAAAAGTCGATTTTTCGACTTTTTGTGATTTATGAAAAGTCGATTTTTTCGACTTTTTTCGTTTTATGAAAAGTTGACTTTTCGACTTCTGGAAATTATTTAAACTTTTCGTCTTTTCTCGACTTTTTTACTTTTATTTACTTTTTTCATAGACGATGTTGAGATATTGACTTTTTTCGACAAAAAGTCGATTGTTCGATTATTCGAAAGTCGATTTATACAACCCTAGGTTTTAATTGAATCAAAAAAAAAGTAGAAATTATATTAAATTAATTTTTTACAAAATTTAGTGACTTTATCGACTATGTTGGCACAAGATTGTAGTTTTAACTTTTCGACAAAAGGTCCTCGAACAATCGCTTCTTTGTTGAAAAGTTAATTGTTCTATATGTCGACTTATAGAACCCTAGCTTCAGATGGTTTACCCTATAACTCCTTACGTTAGCAAAAACTTTGAAATTTATATGTTGTAAAGACATTGTTCTCTTCTAGGTTATATCGTTAGAATTTTTATGGTATTCATCAGTTAAAAACTTAACCTCACTTTGAGGTTAGTTTTACTGTTCTTTTATTTTAAATAAGGTTATGTTTTTAACAGGTGTGGATCATAAATTACTGACTATATATCCTGTTGGAGATTATTTAAACTTAAATTCATACTGGTGATGAAAAAAAAAAGAATTAAATATGCTTTTTTCGCCTTTTTTGGGACAAAACCCGCTTTTCTTGCAGTTTTGATCTCAACTGCCTATTGTGATTAGAAATTTCATATAAAACTAATTATCACAACTTTTTCCTTGAGAAACTAAAGGGTCTAATGTTGCCTACTTATTCACTAAATTATTTTCAATGTCACAATTTTCAAAATTTCTTTTAAAATTACCTTTTATCCTTGAAATATTAAAGTTTACACTTACCTGTAAAGAAAAGAAAGATATTTTTTTTTATTAAAAGCAATACTTTAACAACAATAACTACATATAAAAGCCTAAAAGTATGTAATTCAATTTTCGAGACCCAAAATATACCTGCTTTATGTATTGGAAGTCTAATGCCCTGACACAGTGAAAATGTAACTAGTCTATAGTTAATGAGCTTAATTTCTTACTATATCTTAATCGTATTTGATTTGCTTTAGAGTCTTTTCTTCAAAGTCTTTTTTTACTTTACTTTCTATATATAACATTATATAGAAAGAATGAGGGGTATGTATTGCTTTATATTCCTGGTATTTTGAAAATTTTTCTGAACTAATAAATTTTTAATTTTAATTTTAAATTTTATATAAATTTAAATGTTAAATATAAAAATAACATTAAAATTAATTAAACGAATTATATAAAACAAATACATGATCACTAAAAAGACAAACAAATCATATTTTTAAACATAAAAAAAATTAAAAAATAAATAAGCAATTAAGTATAAAAAAATAAACCATTACTGTTTAAAAACGATTTCTAAAAATATTGTTAACATTTACTATTATTAAAGAAAAAGGAATAAAACAAATGAAAGGAAATAATAATATAATGTAAGTTTAAGAATAAATGGCACGCACTTTAAATAGTAAAAAAAAATCGCACCTATTGCCCCCACCGGCAATTTGCTTAAAAGAAAAATAAGGGGTTTGAAGATAAGAAGTTTGATAAAAGTCAATTTATTTTATTTTTTAATTCATTTTTATATTCTAAACTATATTTTTTTTTCATGAACAAGTTATTACTTTAACATTTTCATGCTTTCTTTATACATCAAACTAATAACTGCTTAAAAATGTGCTGAAATGTCAGCAGGACAAGAACATTAGTTTGTTTTAAAACACTGACATATTTCCATACTCACAGAATGAGAACTGACTATACTTTGAAAACTTTTTCTAATTATTTGTAAACAATTTATTTAAACAAATTTGCGTTAAAATTTTCTCTTAAAAACAAACAATTAATTACAAAAAAATAAACGAAATTTTGAACAAAAAATCAAACATAATAATTTATTCTACTAAAGCTAGTGATATTTTTCTATATAAAAATATAATTTTTTTCTCCCTTAAAAACATTTAAAAAAACTTTTGTGGCCATTTAAACATTAAAAAAACTGTTTATATATAATAAAACACAACAACTAAGGAGTTTTAATAAAAAAAAAATTAAATAAATAAAACTTAAACTAAAACATTCCTGATTAAATAAGAATTTAAAAGAAACAAAAACAAAAAAAAACAAAAACCAAACTCAAATTTTAAAAAATTAATTAAAAACAACAGCGTATAAAACTAAAACTTATATCGTATTAACAACAAAAGAATTTTAAATTAATGTTATAAATTAAAAAACTCTAAAATTAATATATAAAAATTAGAAAAAAAACCAACTCCTGTTAAAGCAATTTCTTTTTCCAACTAAAATATTAAAAAGAAAATTTTAAAATTTTGAAAATTTTATATTCTGTAGTAAGTATTTGGTGAACATATGATTTTCAATTGTAAAAATATTTATACATTTAGCTGCTATCACATTTTATTATAATTTTTGCTTTTAGGTTTTATTTTTTTTATAATAATTATTATATTAAAAAAATGTGATTTATAAATTATATTATTATTCATATTTATATATTTGTATTATGACATCTACTATTTATGATCATTATTATTATTCAAACATTATTGTATACAGTCTCTCTCAGTCTTTCTCTCTCGATCAATCAGTTTTAGAATTCATTGTTAGCAATTAAATATTATTAATAAATATTAATTAATATAAACGACGAATAATGATTATGTTATTAATGCATATAACATTATAAATTAATAACAAATAGAAAAGAAATTAAATTTAAATAAAACTAATTAAAGAAACAATAATGGTTGTTGGTGTTATTTATTAATTAATAGGGAAACTAATCGAAAGATAGGTGGATAGATATATAGATAGATAGATATATAGATAGATAGATAGATAGATAGATAGATAGATAGATAGATAGATAGATAGATAGATAGATAGATAGATAGATAGATAGATAGATAGATAGATAGATAGATAGATAGATAGATAGATAGATAGATAGATAGATAGATAGATAGATAGATAGATAGATAGATAGATAGATGGATAGATAGATAGATAGATAGATAGATAGATAGATAGATAGATAGATAGATAGATAGATAGATAGATAGATATAGATAGATAGATAGATAGGTAGGTAGTTAGATAGATAGATAGATAGATAGATAGATAGATAGATAGATAGATAGATAGATAGATAGATAGATAGATAGATAGATAGATAGATAGATAGATAGATAGATAGATAGATAGATAGATAGATAGATAGATAGATAGATAGATAGATAGATAGATAGATAGATAGATAGATAGATAGATAGATAGATAGATAGATAGATAGATAGATAGATAGATAGATAGATAGATAGATAGATAGATAGATAGATAGATAGATAGATGTATAGTCTAGTGTATAGTCTAGTGTATAGTCTAGTATAGTCTAGTGCATAGTCTAGTCTATAGTCTAGTCTATAGTCTAGTCTATAGTCTAGTGTATAGTCTAGTCTATAGTCTAGTCTATAGTCTAGTCTATAGTCTAGTCTATAGTCTAGTCTATAGTCTAGTCTATAGTCTAGTCTATAGTCTAGTCTATAGTCTAGTCTATAGTCTAGTCTATAGTCTAGTCTATAGTCTAGTCTATAGTCTAGTCTATAGTCTAGTCTATAGTCTAGTCTATAGTCTAGTCTATAGTCTAGTCTATAGTCTAGTCTATAGTATAGTCTATAGTCTAGTCTATAATCTAGTCTATAGTCTAGTCTATAGTCTAGTCTATAGTCTAGTCTATAGTCTAGTCTATAGTCTAGTCTATAGTCTAGTCTAGTCTAGTCTATAGTCTAGTCTATAGTCTAGTCTATAGTCTAGTCTATAGTCTAGTCTATAGTCTAGTCTATTAGTCTAGTCTATAGTCTAGTCTATAGTCTAGTCTATAGTCTAGTCTATAGTCTAGTCTATAGTCTAGTCTATAGTCTAGTCTATAGTCTAGTCATAGTTCTAGTCTATAGTCTAGTATAGTCTAGTCTATAGTCTAGTCTATAGTCTAGTCTATAGTCTAGTCTATAGTCTAGTCTATAGTCTAGTCTATAGTCTAGTCTATAGTCTAGTCTATAGTCTAGTCTATAGTCTAGTCTATAGTTACATGGACAGACGGACAGATGGACGGGAGGACATTGCTTATCGACACAGCAATGATTTTGAGCCGATTGGTCGGCTTAAAGGTGGGTATATGACTATTAACTTCTATGCGTTACAAACTTCAGCACAAATCCAATATACCGTGTAGGGTATAAAAGCTAACTTGTAATCAAAGCGTCGATGTCGGAACAGCGAATGACATGGCACATAGATTGTTTAAGTGCAATGAAAAAGTTTTGTGATGCTTCAGGGGCATTTTTACCTGAACCACCCTCGTATAATTTCTTTGTTATTTAAAAAATCCTAATAAAAATAAAAACAAAATGTTAATGAAAAAAACTTTAAAAAGAATGCCGATTTATATTACTTTGATAAATAAAGTAAACACATTTTTACAACCATTTTTTTCTTTTTACTATATGTATTTTAATTAAATGTTAATTATTTAAAAAATGTATTAAATAATGCAAATTTATTTAACAACAAAATTAAATAAATAACAACATTAGACAGTATAGTAAAATAAAATAAATAATATTTACTTGTATTGTCGAAGACAATTTTTAGGGTGTTTAAGGCAAAAAACAAATATAATATTATTAAATACATATTAACAAAGAGGTGTGCGACTTAATTACTCAATTAATTAATATTATCAGGTGCAAATAATAAAGAAATAAACAAAATGGAAATTTATAGAAATTTCTTAATAGGGTTTCTATTAAGAAAATAAATTCTATGACTTTTTGACAACGAAATCTGGAAAATGAAAATTGAAAACTCTTATTATATAACTTTTTATCCACTTAGTACCAGTATGCACTTGTAAATATAAAATTTTCTTGAACTTTAAAGTCGCTAATTGATAATGAAATAAAGAAATCATTAATACCGGGTGTTACAATAAGTTAGCGCCGCAAAATGAGGGTTCCGAGTTACAAACGAACGTCGCTAACTTGTTGATGTTAATACTAGATAGAACCGAAATATCGTGCAGTGTCGGACTGCTCCAGGTTTTAGTAATAATACTCGTCTGAGCAGGCCAGATACAAAGATAATGTCTGGTCTTAGCAGGCCTATAAAGTTCCCCTTGTGTTAGTGTATTAGCTTTTTATCAATTTCCCCTGGTTATAGGAGGGAATCTGTTTTAACCAGCATGTCCGCTATGACATTCCCAGTTATATGTGAATGTATCGGTACCAAAAGCAGTTTTAGATTCAAATGATTCGCCATCTTGTCAATAGACGTTCGATATTTGCATACAAATCTGGGTGTAGTGTAGATACTAGATAGAGATTTTATTGCAGGTTTACTGTCAGTATAGATTCGCATTATTTTATTGTATATCCGATAGTAACCGATACAGTTTAACGCCATTTTTATGGCCGCAATTATAGCCTGTAAGATGCTACATTGATGGTGTAGAGGCGGATTATAAAAGTCGCCTCCCACACCCCTTGAATACTTTAATCCAATAGTATAGATTGGCCTTGAGGTTGGCAGGAAAAGAAGAAAAAAAAAATCATGGGACTGATGTACCATTGAGGAATATTCGAGAATAGAACAAGTTATGTTCCCCCGGATTAACACCAAATGCACTGACAAAGAGACAAAGCTAGATTAACTAAAATACAACAATTCAGCTGATAAGAAATATCTATTCAGCTAACTGAATTTGAATTTTTAACCCAAAATATATAAATGATTTCGTAAGTTTTATGTTTTATAATAATTTTATAACCAAAGTTAGTTATTCAGCTAGCTGAATTTATGTATTAAGGAAAAAATTCATATAATTATGAGTTTATTTGAGATTTTTTGATATAAAGATGATATTCAGCTAGCTGAATGTAGTATTCTGTTGGTATTCTATAATATAAACCAAAAATAATATAATTAGAGAAGAAAAATTGTCGATTCAGCTAGCTGAATATGAATTTTGGTCCTAAAATATATGAATAATTTGGTTTATTTTATGTTTTTTTTATTAAATTAATGAATGAAATGTTTATTCCAATAAAAAATTAACTATTCTATTTAGCTAAATAGTGATTTTTGAATATAATGTTTTAATTCACATTCAATATTTTCCAAAATTGTTATTCAGCTAGCTGAATTTGTTATTTTTAATAATTATTCTATTTATTAGTGGCTTTGTTGTAAATTTCATTAAAGGAACCTTAAGTCAGCTAAATATGTCTTCTAATGGTTAATTTTTGATAAGTTTATGATAATTAATATCTTAAAGCCATATACAAGCAATTCAGCTACGAAAATTTTAGCTGAATAGCCATTTAGATGTATGCTGATATAAAGATATTTAAAAAATTTCTTATTCAGCTTACGCACTTTGTTTTATTTGTTTTTGATCTAATCAGAGTAGTATTATACTAGCTGAATTCCTATCTTTGTAGTTTTTTGTTTGTTTTATGAATTCAGCTACTAAAAATTAGGCTGAATAGAGATTTGGTATACAGTTTTATAATATGTATAGATTTTTGGTTTTTACATATAAAAGATGTTTTAAGACTGTACGATCTGTTTTCTTACTCAGAACTTATATTAAGTTCAGAATACATACTTAAAGCTAGTTTAGGATCAGTCCAATATCTGATATACTTAAATCAATCTAATTTTTGTCTCAAATCAAGTATGTATTGGGGCTTAAATCAAGAAGAAAGTTCTTAAAACATGTATGTTCTGGGATAATTCTTGATGAATCCGTACTTGGATCAAGTATTTTGTACACAGAGGGAAAAGGAAATATACACGCCTGGTACCAAATTGACACCAAAGAGTTTATAATAAATCTAAATTTTATACAAATCCGTTGTCTAAATTTAAACAAACGTGGTAAGCTCACTATTGACAACGGATTGTTTGTCAATAGTGAGCTTACCACGTTTGTTAACATTTAGACAACGGATGTGTATAAAATTTAGATTTCGACAACGAATTGTTGCAAAGTTGTCAACATTACATAGTGTTGTCGTACGTACGTATATACTTTGACAACGGATGGTATTGAAAAATTATAAACAGTTTGGTGTCAATTTGGTACCAGGAGTGTATATTTCTTTTTCCTTCTGTGTACTTGATTTTAGTAAATTCCTACTTACTGTAATATTGACTCAGCTCCGAAGTAGATTCTACGACTTTTATTTTATACTCTCAAGAATCACCCATGTAATACCGCTAACTGATCACTAAATGTTGTATTTACTTTTATGAGGATTTATATTCACAAACATTATTGTCATTTTAAATCCCATAAATAATTGTTTAAATAATTCTAAGTCACCTTTTAAAATAAATTATTGTTTTTCATTGCGGCCGCTGCTGCTGTAATTAGCATTTGGATGAAGGTGTGAATTATTGAAATTTTACATTGTTTTTGTGAATTCGAAAGATGCACAGAAAAAAATCTCTATAATTTATCATTCAGTTGAAATTTACATATTCTAGTAAACATTACAAAAGTGTCTCCCACAATTTAAAAACAAAAATAAATGTCAAAATCGTGTAAATCAGAAAAATCCTCCTCTCTCATACCTTTACTTAATGATCTTAGTGATCAAAGTTTTTCCAGTATTCCTTATGCCGATGAGGATAATGATGATGTCGATAGTGCTTCTGATAATGAAACGGCAAGATCATTTAGTGGTCGCATAAGTTTAGATCGTAATGTGGATCTTTCGATATTGGTGCATTTAAGTGATAGCGATCGTGAGCAAAGTGATTCGAAATTGGAGAGAAGGGATTCTACTTATCCTTTATATTTACCGGGGTTTGTTATAAAGGTTCATAATATTGCTGGATCATTGAAAAGAAACTCTATATCGTTGCCAACGGGTCTCTGTGATCGTGAATTGGAGTCGTTGAGATTTCATTCACAGGTACCACATGGTGGTAAGGAATTTGAGGATATTAAAAAAAGTTGTGATAAAGAAAAGGTGAGTTAATAAAGAAATAAAAATAAACCTTTTTCCACTCTTAAGAGAATATAATATTCTCTTTTGATTTAAAAATAAATCAAGGAGAATCCAAATCATAATTTTTACGTTTTCAAATATGTGTCAATACTATCATTATTGACACATTGTATTATATTGAAAATGTTTATCTCTTGGAAATCTCTAGAAGTACATACACATTTCGTAAAAGCCCCTCAAAGACCCTCAATCCATAATAAGTTTATCAGTTTAATATTTTCAAGTGGTTTCCATAAACTCTCTTTCTACAGTGTTTTTCTGTTCAAATTTTATTGCATATTTATTCTACTTGCGACGTCATTTCAAAACACTTGTATTTCAATTATTTTAATATTATTTATTTAATTTTATTTTATCATAAATAAATATATTAAATGTCGTTATCATTTAAATGTAGAAATATTTATAGCATGTCATACGGTGTGGTGTTAAAATGACTTTAGAACCGATCAGCGATCGCATAAATAAATGTTATTTCTCAGCCTTTTAATTATATTCTATTATTTATTGTTTTTAAAAAGTTAATTAGAAACTAGCTTATAAATTTAGTTTTTCTACTAAAATTTAAAATGTGTTTTAGTTAAATTTCTTTTCGTTATCAGAAAATTTCTTTAGGTCTCAAAAAAAAAAAAAAAAAAAAGAGTTATTGTAGAATAAAACACTTTTATTGACATTTCTTTTGTTAAGAAATATAAATAATGATTTTTTTTAAATGTTATCAGTCTATTTTTGTACAAAAAATATGTATTATATAAATTGAAATATTTAAATAGAAATTTTGCGCATTTTAAAAAATACACATGCACACAAACGATATTTAATTTAATTTTTTATACTAGCTCATAGTCTAGTCTATGTATAGACTAGTTTATAGTCTAGTCTATAGACTATCTTATAGTCTAGTCTATGGTCTAGTCTATGGTCTGGTGTATGATCTAGTCTATGGTCTAGTCTATGGTCTGGTCTATGGTCTGGTCTATGGTCTGGTCTATGGGCTGGTCGATGGTCTAGTCTATGGTCTAGTCTATGGTCTAGTCTATGGTCTAGTCTATGGTCTAGTCTATGGTTTAGTCTATGGTCTAGTCTATGGTCTAGTCTATGGTCTAGTCTATGGTCTAGTCTATGGTCTAGTCTATGGTCTAGTCTATGGTCTAGTCTATGGTCTGGTCTATGGTCTAGTCTATGGTCTAGTCTATGGTCTAGTCTATGGTCTAGTCTATGGTCTAGTCTATGGTCTGGTCTATGGTCTGGTCGATGGTCTAGTCTATGGTCTAGTCTATGGTCTAGTCTATGGTCTAGTCTATGGTCTGGTCTATGGTCTAGTCTATGGTCTAGTCTATGGTCTGGTCGATGGTCTAGTCTATGGTCTAGTCTATGGTCTAGTCTATGGTCTGGTCTATGGTCTAGTCTATGGTCTAGTCTATGGTCTAGTCTATGGTCTGGTCTATGGTCGAGTCTATGGTCTAGTCTATAGTCTAGTCTATGGTCTAGTCTATGGTCTAGTCTATGGTCTAGTCTATGGTCTAGTTTATGGTCTAGTCTATGGTCTAGTCTATGGTCTATGGTCTAGTCTATGGTCTGGTCGATGGTCTAGTCTATGGTCTGGTCTATGGTCTAGTCTATGGTCTAGTCTATGGTCTAGTCTATGGTCTAGTCTATGGTCTAGTCTATGGTCTAGTCTATGGTCTAGTCTATGGTCTAGTCTATGGTCTGGTCTATGGTCTGGTCGATGGTCTAGTCTATGGTCTAGTCTATGGTCTAGTCTATGGTCTGGTCTATGGTCTAGTCTATGGTCTGGTCGATGGTCTAGTCTATGGTCTAGTCTATGGTCTAGTCTATGGTCTAGTCTATGGTCTAGTCTATGGTCTGGTCTATGGTCTAGTCTATGGTCTAGTCTATGGTCTAGTCTATGGTCTGGTCTATGGTCGAGTCTATGGTCTAGTCTATAGTCTAGTCTATGGTCTAGTCTATGGTCTAGTCTATGGTCTGGTCTATGGTCGAGTCTATGGTCTAGTCTATAGTCTAGTCTATGGTCTAGTCTATGGTCTAGTCTATGGTCTAGTTTATGGTCTAGTCTATGGTCTAGTCTATGGTCTATGGTCTAGTCTATGGTCTGGTCGATGGTCTAGTCTATGGTCTAGTCTATGGTCTGGTCTATGGTCTAGTCTATGGTCTAGTCTATGGTCTAGTTTATGGTCTAGTCTATGGTCTAGTCTATGGTCTAGTCTATGGTCTAGTCTATGGTCTAGTCTATGTCTAGTCTATGGTCGAGTCTATGGTCTAGTCTATAGTCTAGTCTATGGTCTAGTCTATGGTCTAGTCTATGGTCTGGTCTATGGTCGAGTCTATGGTCTAGTCTATAGTCTAGTCTATGGTCTAGTCTATGGTCTAGTCTATGGTCTAGTTTATGGTCTAGTCTATGGTCTAGTCTATGGTCTAGTCTATGGTCTATGGTCTAGTCTATGGTCTGGTCGATGGTCTAGTCTATGGTCTAGTCTATGGTCTGGTCTATGGTCTAGTCTATGGTCTAGTCTATGGTCTAGTCTATGGTCTAGTCTATGGTCTAGTTTATGGTCTAGTCTATGGTCTAGTCTATGGTCTAGTCTATGGTCTAGTCTATGGTCTAGTCTATGGTCTAGTCTATGGTCTAGTTTATGGTCTAGTCTATGGTCTAGTCTATGGTCTATGGTTTAGTCTATGGTCTGGTCGATGGTCTAGTCTATGGTCTAGTCTATGGTCTGGTCTATGGTCTAGTCTATGGTCTAGTCTATGGTCTAGTCTATGGTCTAGTCTATGGTCTAGTCTATGGTCTAGTCTATGGTCTAGTCTATGGTCTAGTCTATGGTCTAGTCTATGGTCTAGTCTATGGTTTTCGAAAAAATATTCAGTACAAAAAATTTACTAAAATGTAAATTTTCTACTAAAAATGGAAATATTTACTTAAAATTCGATTTTTCAGTAAAAATACGATTTTTCATTAAAAATTTTAATTTTTCATTAAAACTAAATTTTTCACTAAAAATCGGATTTTTTGACAAAAAATCAGGTTTTTGATTAAAAATTAGGCTTTTCATTAAAAATCTGATTTTTCTAGTCTATGGTCTAGTCTATGGTATAGTCTGTGGTCTAGTCTAATGGTCTGGTCGATGGTCTAGTCTATGGTCTAGTCTACGGTCTAGTCTATGGTCTGGTCTATGGTCTAGTCTATGGTCTAGTCTATGGTCTAGTCTATGGTCTAGTCTATGGTCTAGTCTATGGTCTAGTCTATGGTTTTCGAAAAAATATTCAGTACAAAAAATTTACTAAAATTTAAATTGTCTACTAAAAATGGAAATATTTACTTAAATTCGATTTTTCAGTAAAAATAAAATTTTTCACTAAAAATTAGATTTTTCATTAAAAATTAAAATTTTTCACTAAAACTAAATTTTTCACTAATTAAAAATAGGTTTTTTCACTAAAAATCTAATTTTTCACTAAAAGTAAAATTTTTTACGAGAATTCCATTTTTTCATTAGAAATTCAATTTTTCGCTAAAAATCCGTTTTTCATTAAAAATAAAATTTATCTCCAAAAATCAAATTTTTCATTAAAATTTAATTTGATTTTTCATTAAGAATATGATATTGACATAAAATACGATTCTACCGTATTTTTTACGATAACGAAAAAATACGGTATTTTAACTTAATATCCGCCTTTTACTAAAAAATCTGATTTTTCCCTAATTTCGAATTTGAGTAAAAATAAACTTAGTCACTTTTGAATCTCAACTAACCTTATGATCGTGGGCAAAGATTACATCATGATCTTATTATCTCTATATAACATTCTCAATAATAATTTTATTTAAAGGTGATCTTTGTTGAATGGATCAAGAGCTTTTCGTGTCGAGGGATTCTTCAATCGTTTTTCAGTTTAATTTCTTAATCGCTTGAATGCTTCTGGTAGGTTAGTTAGTAGTTCTATTAGTCCGGATTTGGTGGATTCTATTATGTCCCATATCTTTACTTCAAACTATCTCACTAATCTGACTAACTAATAGCATAACTTATAAGCATTTCTAGACAAATATTGTCTACATGTGCGTGTATAATAATTTAATTTATAAAAGGAAAAACTTAAAAATTATTCCGACACAAATATTATAAAACAAGATATCATAAATAAATTTCGAAATACTAATACATGATAATAAATAAATAACGTTGAAATAAATGTCAATAATTATTAAATTTCAGATATTTGACAAGAAATCGAGGCGTAGACAAGTATAATAATTTTATTTTAATTTTATGCTAGTACTAACTAAATAATAAATAATAAAAATCAAATACAAATAAATAATACATTTCAATAAATAAATAAAGTGTGAGAAACACTGTGGGTTTTATAATCCGAGAATGTGAATAAACAAAATTGACAACGATAATGATTAAAATAAATACTCAAAACAAATCAAATCGTATGTACTTCTGAACACTACCCTACCAACACCCCCTTCAATAATGTTTGAAAAAAAAAAAACAAAAACAATACAA